GTCTGGAAAAGAAAAACCAGGCTCTCCAGGCAGAGCTGAAGGCAAAAGATGGGAGAGAGAATGAGCTCAAGTAAACCAAGAAACCAATTTAAAAATCAAAGAAAGGTTTGAAGGAACGCTACGAGAAAGCAGTCGATACCGTACATTGGTATGATTATCTTAACACTGAGTATGTGCGGGGAAGGACTCCAGGCATCCAGTGGTGGGTGGTGGTTGCATCAAATACTGTCATTAAATCGAACATCCAGCATAATCTATGAGAATATTACAGAAATTAATTGGCATAACGTTAATTAAATGTTTAAATGTGTTGTAAAAGAAGAGTGTTGTATATACACAAACATACGTGTGAAAGCGAGATGTGTTTTTCTTATCTTGGTCATTGTTTATTATTTCAAGAAATTAATTTTTTTTTGTTTTCTCCAGAAAACATGATTAATTAATCAGTTAATCAACTTTTTTTATCCTGAATTAACGAAATAATTAAAAAACTGTTGGAATGTATGACCGTTTAAGGCTTCCGTAGAACTGCTCTGAATAATGACTAAAACTATATTTAATTATCAGGACGGTCGACTCAACAACCAACAACCTCCAACGTCAATGAGAAGCGTCTCTCAGACGATGGCAGGAAACAAGGTCACCACCATCAACTCGAGACCAGAGGTCACCACGGCCTCTCGAACCATGACACAGACCTCGCACACGACGGTGGAGGCCGAATCCGAAGAGGAGCAGCCGGAGGAAGCTCTGTGTGAGGAAGGAGTCCAGCAGACTGCTCGCAGGAGAAAGAGACCAGCTGTAAATTAGAGTTAAAATACATAAAAACACACAAACAGCGTTTTCTTCCTCCTCGTTTGGCCTCTTCATTTATTTCAGTAAAATACAATTTAAATAAAAAGAACAAATTAAAAAACACATTGCAGCAAACATCAAATCTGTTTCTTTACCAAAACCTCACCTCTTAATTTCTGATGTGTTCTAACTGCTAACATACAATACAACTTTAGATGTACAGAACCTTTGTTAAAGGAAGAGAAAATAATACAATTGTTGCTGTATTTTCTGAATTTTTTATCTTTTTTAAATGTTTTCTGTTTTCTGAACCTGTAAACGTGTAAAAGCGCTCATAAGTCTGCTTCAAGTCAGGGTCGAAGCCGGTAAGCGAGGTGTGAGCGTCTGGCCGAGTCCCAGCGATCAGTGACTGCTACAGACAACAGATTGTTCGCCTCCTCAACACAGCGCCCAGCGTGGAGCAGGCCAAAGGTTCATAGTGCCTGATACCACTGGAAATAGGAAAGGAACTCATTTTCCAGTGCGTACATAGGTAACTAGACTTTCCCTGTTAAAATACAAACATTTACCGTGAGAATAAAAAGTGTCAAAAGCTCCTCAACCAGTGAAATCAAGCTGAGGTGAAATATTGAAAACCAGGCAGAAGGTGTAATCTACAAAGAGTCTTGGGACCGGCAGTATTGAAGAGAGCGGACGGGTATCTAGGGGTGTAGAAGCTCAGAGAGGTCAGGTAGGGCAAGACCATTCAGGGATTTAAAAGCAAAATAATTTTAAAATGGATCCTAAATTGAATAGGCAGCCAGTGGAGTGAGGCTACAATGGGGGAAATGTGCTCATGTTTAAGTGTGCCAGTTATTCACTTGTATTTTTGAATATTCTATATTTTTGTGTTCTTTTAATTCCTTGTCCCATCAAGGCAAACTGGTGAGTCAGCTTTATTTTATCAAGCAGCTGCTTGTTGTTTTAGGGTGTGTTTTACCAGTGCAAAGGTTTATTACATTAAGTTTATTGATGAACCGATAATGTGAGGTAATAAGACGCAGACAAGCAGATTTACATTTTATTTGTGTTCATTACTGATGAATACAAACTTTATTCTGGATAATAAACACAAAAAGAGTTTGTTTAAAGCTGAAATCTCAAACTTTGTGCACACTGTCGCCCTCTGCAGCAGTGAGAGGGAACTGAAATGATGTTCAAACTACAGAGTTGTTGTGGAAGCTGGATGTTTATTTCAATCAGCCACTGCAATACATTGAAAATGTTCCAGCTAACAAAGTGAGATAGAGCTGGGCTTATGTTTGATTTCAATGTATTTAAATATATTCTGTACATGCTGTGAAATATTGTGCTTCCAGTTCAACGTGTCTGTTTGAACAGAGTTTATTGGCTTTCTCTGCCAGGAACCACTACCACTACCTAACCACTCGGCCGAGGAAGGTCAAGGTCACCCTTGCAAACAAACTCACACTTTGCCAGGTTGACCGTGAGCGTCGTCTCCGCCCAACGACTGAACAGGTCTTGGATGCGTTCCAGGTGAGTTTCCCAAATGTCTGAATAAACAACAAGGGGACCTGCCAATATCCTTTTTTAGCATCGCACTTGCTGACAAACTTTGCTGAGCCCACCTCTGATCTATGCAGTCTTCCATTCTGGGAAGGGGAAACAAGTCAGGGTTAGGGACAATATTCACTCGTCGAAAATCAGAGCAGAAATGTGGCGTATTATCAGATTTTGTAACCAGTAAGCATGGTGAGGACCAGCTGGAAGAACAGGGCTCTGCACTACCATTTTCTAACTGAAAACTGTTTTTTGAAGTAATAATAATAATAATAATACATTTTATTTGTAAAGCACTTTACATAAAAGAATCTCAAAGTGCTACAGAAATCATATTTAAAACACATTAAAATCAGCAACAGAATAAAAATACAAGTGATAAAACACATCTAAAATCTAAGGACAACTAAAAGAACGCCTGCCTGAACAAAACCGTTTTAAGCCCTTTTTTAAAAGTGTCCACAGATTGGGGTTTTCACAGATGTTGCTGTAGATGCAAAGGTGGGTGATGGGGGCGATCTTGTATTGGATTCTTGAGGTTATGGGGAGCCAGTGGAGGTTCTGAAGAATGGGGGTGATGTGGTCGTATTTGCGGGTTTTCATCAGAGTTCGGGCAGCACAGTTCTGAATGAATTGAAGTTGTTGAAGGTGTTTATTAGGTATACCTATGAGCAGGCTGTTACAGTAGTCAGTAATTACATTTATCAACGTGACCAGCTCTGACTCAGGCAAGTGCGCGACCAGTTTATCGACGTTACAGAGAGCTTCTGAGTTCTTCAAATGTCCACCTGACAAGGCTTGGTCAGGTGCACTTACTCCGTCTTCCTCACACACCAGACCGTCAGGGGGAGACTCGACTTGGACCAGCTACACAAGCCACACGCCCCTGACCAACATCTCCTGGGATAAAAACGTAAATTTTTCATTTTGTGTTAAGCCGACGCCAAATTCTCCTCAGACAGTACAACCGGTGTCGAAAACCCATGTAGTCAATCAAGTTTTTAGGAGGGTTTGACTTTACAAGATTACAAGATAATGCCGCCAAAGGAGCTCTCACAGTGTGCGCAAAGACAAGTTCCTCTGCACCATAATTTAACTTTTATTTCCCCTCCGGAGAATTATACTTTTTCTAATTTTTCACATTGAATTCCTTAAAAATGCATCGACTCCATTAAAAATAATAATAATTCCCATTAGCAAACTAATATTTTACAGTAATACCACAGTAATGTACTGTAAAACTTCTAATAATAGCCCGGGCGTGTATTTGCTTAAATCACTGAACTCCCCCTGCCTTTATTGGGGACAGGCCTCTATTTGGGACAGGCCTTTAATTCCTTTAGCACAAAACCAAACTAAACTCTAACTGCTGCTTCTCTTGAGATTTGTTCAGCAAATTTGACAACTAACATGATGATTATGATGCTTCAGAGGTTTTTTTCCGTCTCTCTTGTTTACCGTGTTACTTTGTTGTTGATAGTTTTCGTAAAATATATTGAACGATTGAATTGTGGAGAATCTATAACTGATCTAACGATGTTCATTATGTACACATTGACAGAAGTTTAAACATTTATATTTCTGTAGGAGATTGAAACGACTTAAAACTCGCTCAAGCGGGTGACCCGGTGGGTTTTAAGAGGTTTTATACATCGAGATAATTTCTATAAAATCCAGACCAGGCCTCTATTGGAGACCTGCGTTTATTTGTCACAGCGTGTAGCCACACCAGGCTTTTAAAAGGAGACCTGTGTCTATTAGGGACCTTGCTTTTATTGGATTTTTTACGGTATGCATAGTCATAATATTAATGTAAAAAAAAACAAATCACAACATCTGCCCGTAATAAAAAAATATATAATAGAAATAAAAAATAAGCTAAATAAGAGTTATATGTGTAATAGATATATACCACGGTTTATATATTTACTTGTGAGATACTTTTAAAAAAACTACTAAAAAAAATCCTACATTTCCCACAATGCAACTCGACGGTGTCTCTTGTGTTTCACCTGTTGTCATCGCTGCACAGGTGCATGCACGCATGCGCAGTCCGTTCTGTGCATCTTCACATCTTCCCATCCTTCATCACTACATTTCTGCTCCATAAAGTTGGCGGGAGTTACTCAGGACTGTACCGGAAGTGTAGTTTAGTGTTCCCTTTCACAATAAGACACAGGTTATGACGAATTATACGGTTTAAATATTATATTATTATATTATTATTATAATGAGACACTCGAGGAAAGCGGGTGTTTGTGTTTGTGAAGCTCAGAATTAAAATATGTGATGTGATTTGGAATCAATGCTTTAATTCAGTGATGTATTTTTATGATCTCGAATCTTTTATGAACTAATTTTACACTATTGTATGTAAAGAAAATAATGTTATTTTTTAAATAAATCCCTGTACATATTAATGCACATTTAACTGCATTTGGTGGCCTTGTACTTTTGTGCAATCACAATAAAGCTGAATCTAAACTAATCTAATAAAATAAGATACAACACAAAAGATAAGAAAAATACACATTAAATACAATTAGAATATAAAACAAAAGAAGCTATGACACAAATAGAAAAAATAAGATTAAGAGTTTATTGGGAGACAGATTCTGAAATGCTTTTGTGGTTTTATTTTGAAGGTGTGAGCCGGAAGCTGCGTGCCGTTAGCTTTTAGCTCCTGTAGCTCCGCAGTCGGTGTCCGAGCTGCGGGACGATGCTGGTGGACTGACCGCCGGACCGAAGCGGACCTACTGGGGTTAAACATCAGACCGGACCCCTCTGGAAGGAGGTCTGGGTGAGTACGGCAGTTTGTGACGTTAATATCCGACCGTTAGCCTCGATTTAAACCCCCCCCCCACCCCCCCACCGTGTTTATAACCGGGGCTTAACGGAGCTGTGAATACCGTCTTCACTCGGTCATCTTTAAAACTCATTTAATGACATTTATTCACTTTTAACGGACACAAACTGGTGTTTTTATGGTGTTTTTATGGTGTGTAAATGTGTGTGTGTGTGTGTGTGTGTGTGTGTGTGTGTGAGGGTGTGACTGAGGAAATCCTTCAAAACAAGAGCATATTTCTGTTATTGTGAAGGAGAAAAAAAACACCAATAAATCATCAATAATCAGGTGTTTGACGGCAAATTGATGCGTCATATTCCCCCAGTTTTATCCTCGGATCAAATGTAGGCCAGGTCAGATGAATTAATATTTAATGTAGGTGATTTACACTGAAGAAAAAACAAATATTTTATATTTTAAAAAGAAATAAATGGGAAAATATGTGTGTAGGCGGGGATAGATGGTCTGTTATTGGTTGTGTTAGTATGAGCAGTTGTAGTACAGTCAGTAGTAATGAGCCTCAATCCTCCTCCTGCAGTGTAATCTGCTGTGGATGGGGGCAGGTGGGCGGGGCTTACAGGTAGACCACACCTGGCAGAGGCACGTCATCACGAGCTGCAGGTAGATCACTATCAGAAAACCTACAAATCAATTAATTAGTAGTATTAGCAGGAGTGGTGGAGTGTATAAGATCATCTCAAATATTGTGCTTTATACTTCACTGCATTGAGATTTGTTTACAAAATATATTATTATTGTTATTAAAATGTGATGTTTTATTTAAAAAGTATCAATTAAACGATTAATTGGGGGGGGTTCAAATGTGGATATTTGCTGCTTTTTCTTTTAATAATTGTAATAATTTGAATGTATTTGTAATAGTTTACCCTAACAACTACGACTAGCAGATGAATCTATAATGAAAATAATCATTTGTTGCAGAAAATGTTTCAAAACGAGCTCCAGCTCTTTCATTTATTTATTTAACTGACTTTAAAATATTAAAAACATACAGAAACAACAGCTGCTGATTTTCTTTCATATACTAAAAACAGTTTTTACCTGTAAGAATGTAAAATATGTCTTAAATTACTAAAAGAAAAAGGTCTTTAAAAGTCTGACTGAGAGGTTTTTAAATGAGAGTTTTTGCATCAACATGTTAAATTTAATACATTGAGCGATCCTGTTGAGTATTTTACTTTAAATTAATTTCCTTTCTCTGTCAGCGTTTACAGAACCAGACGAGATCAATAACGAGAACCATGGTGACCAAGAAAATCCGGACGGAGTACATGAAGAAGTTCAGGGATCCCAAATGGGAGACGTTCTCCAAATGCTACGAGGACTCTCTGAAGTATCGTCTGACCCGGCGGGTGATGGAGCATTCCCACAAGCCCTGGTTCTGGGAGGGTTGGGACAGCGTCTCGGACTCCAGCGGCTGGTCCACGCCGAGGCCGTCCAGGAACAAAATCGCCCCTCTGTCCCTCCCGGCGCCGCCGCCGCCACCGCTGCCCACCTCGGAGGGGAAGCAGAGGCTGTCCAGCCCCGGGCCGAAACCGCCGCCGGAGGATGGAGAGACCGGGGTGGGAGCCGGTGAGGCGGCGGCCCGAGACGCTGCACCGGCTGCAGGTGAGGAAAACTGTACTTTGACTGGCAGTGAAATGATTAATCGATCGATTGATTAGTCAATAAACAGAAGCTGATTTTCTCTGTTGTAACTTGAATATTTTTGGGGGGGTTTGGACTAAAGAAACAATTTAAATATAAGATAATATTATAGGATTATAGATAATAATATTATATACTTTTTTAAATTTGTTAATAAAATAAACAACAGATTAATTGATCATAAAACTATTTGTTAGTATCTAATTTAATCTTCATCAAGTACAAACATTCAGAAAACTTTACATATCGGGGACCACGAAACACAATACATGAGCATTAAATAGAATATTAGAGCTGCTTCTTATTACTGTTTTCACTATTTATCAATCTGCTGATTGTTTTCTCGATTGATTGTTTCTAAAATGTCAGAACTTATTGAAACCTTCCCGTCACAAGTCTTCTTAAATATTTAATTTACAGTCATAAAGAAAACCAGCAAATATTCACGTTCGAGAGTCTAAACTGTAAAAAAAAAAAACAACGATTATCGATTATCAACAACAGAAAAATAATCATTAACTGTTAAAAATGTGAATTAAACTTTAATCTTCACACTTTGAAAACAACGGCACAAAACGTTTATTTAAAGTACCTTGTGTGTAGGATTTAGTGCCATGTAGCTGTAACTGAACACCGCTCGTGTCTGTATTCGGCGACCAGAGGGAATGAGAACGGGGCTGTGAAGTGAGAAAGGAGAAACTGTTTGTCCTGGTTCTTCTGGTTCTTGTCTCGTTTCCAGGAATATTCCGGGATAATCTACCAAAGCTCCCTCAAAAGGAGTTTCTTTGTTGCTCCTGTCTGACAGTTTGAGGGCCAGACGCTGGTTTACCTCCGGAGACTCTGATGCTAAAAATATTTCTGCGCTGAAGGTTCAGTGATCAGAAGGACGGTTTCAGACCGCGAGCTCGGATACAAAAGACCTATTGTGTCTCAGGAGAGCGTCCGGGGACCGACTCTGAATGTTCGAAGGTCTATAAGCTGTAGATTTAACAATATAACAAACCTGAGTCATCTGAGCAGTGATGTGTATTCTGTATATATGAGTGTGGAAAAAAAATTTTTTTTTTTATCTTGCTTTTTTTTTTCCCCTCCCAATAATTTTTTTTTTTTTTTTCTCCCCCCTCCCCCCCTTCACCATCACCCCCCTGTGGGGAGAATGCCAAAAAAAAAAAAAAAAATTTTTAAATATATTTATATACCTAGGGGGGGGGGGGGGGGGGGGGGGGTGGGTTTTTTTTTTTGGTAAATTTTGCTGTGTGGGGGCAGGGGGGGGGGGGGGACCCACCCCCACCCTTCCGATGGAAGGGACCCGCTCTGCCTCTGAGAAGCCCATGTTGTTAATATTGTGGTAAAGTTTAACTGACAGTAGATTGATGTTATTTACAGAAACTATGTTCCTGAATCAAACAGCGTTTATGTAAACACCTAAAATTAATAAAAAAGAAGGCTGAGCTGCAACAAGTTGATGGAAAATGAAGAGAAAATCCATCTTTAATAATAATAGATAATAATGATAATTTGTGTCTCAGTTGTAGAAAACGGCGTGAATGAAGCCAGCGGTGGTTCGATGGCGGCGGCTCCAAACGGCAGCGGACCCTCAGACAACACGGCGACAGACAACGGTCCCGCTGACACGTCGTCTTCTGACGGGGAGCCGGTGAACCCGGTGCCCAAGCGGCGCCACCGCCGCCGCACCCCTCGGTCCGAGCCGGGGAACCGCGACAGTTCCCACGACGACAAACCGGCTGTCGTCCGCAAACCGCCGAGAGCGAAGAGCCAACCGCCGATCAGCACCAAGGAGAACCGGCGGCCGTCCAGCCGACTGGACTGGACCGAGAGACAGACGGAGGTCAGGAGGACGCAGAATGACGTGAGTGTTTGTTCTCGCCAAAGACGCGTTTAAAACTTAGTTAAAGGTTTTAGCGTAATATGTAATTTCTCACATCAAAACAATAACAAAAGAGGAGGTTTGGTGATGTGGTGAAGCAGTGAGGGATCATGGGAGTTGTTGTCTTCACCACCATTGGCGTCATTGCAGTCAGCTTCTCCCGGTTAGGATTCCTTCAGTGTTCATGGTTCAGGAGGTTTCTACCGGGAGTCCAATGATCCACAGAGGTCTCCTCCTCTCCGAAACAAATGACTAAAGTCATAAACAGTGGATGGTAACAATGAGTCTTCAGACTGGATAAACAGTCAATGTATGACAGCTCCTGGCAGACAACCACAACGCTGACGCAGGCACAAAGGGGATATGACGCCATCGACAGGCGACCGGTGAAACGCAGCGTTACCTGAATAAAATGACAGATTTCTCTGAGTTTGAACTTTGTTGGAAACATTTGGGAAAACGTAGGAACTCAACTACATAGAGAACATAAAGTCTATAGACATTTATTCTTTTATGGCTTTATTGATCGACAGCTGTAGATAGACAGGAAAGGTGGGTGGAGAGAGAGGGGATCAGGTCAGATTCGAACCCGGGCCGCTGCAGCAACTCTGTTTTATAGACATTTTTAATGCTGAAATCTGACGTTCTGTAATTTTACAAAAACAGTCGGGATGTAAAAACGTAGAAACCAGGAAGAGTCTTTTCAGAGCAGCTCGATCTCGATCACAGGACACCAGAGAAGTGAAGCCGTGTCACCAAACACTCTGCAAACATTAATAATAAAACGCCGGTGAAAACCACTCTCTCTCTCTCTCTCTCTCTCTCTCTCTGTTTCCTCCTCTCCGGTTTCTCCTCCTCAGAGCAACACGTCGGACGCCTGCGTTCAGACCCGGCGGGAGTCCGACAAGCGGAGCTCCAACCTGGACCGCCGGCGGGCTCGGTCCGCCGACCTGGAGAAGATGAGGCCGCAGCTGGCGGTGGTGGACGACCGCTGGATGACGGAGTACATGCGCTGCTTCTCCGCCCGGCTGAGGTAGAGACCGGGGATCCAGCAACCCCCCCCCTCCGAGAGAAACCCCTGAAACCGTTACGGGAGAGCCGATAACCAGACGGTGGAACGAGGGGGTCCGTGGTTCGGCTGAGAGGCGACCTGAGAGCCGTTGTCTCGTTAATTCATCAAAGCAGAAACATAAAGTGGGCAGAGCTTTAATTTAACAGAAACAATCACATTTAATCTCTTTTATTTGGTCTGAATGACTCTAAAAACTACATTTCCCATAAGCCTCAGCGGGTTTTTTTTATGGAAAAGGGACCAGCTTACTCAGAAATACAAAATAAGTTTATTTCGACAAATATTTAAACATCTGACAGAGATTTATCAGCCAATATTTTTATTTTGATCACCGACATTTTCTTTTTTAAATGGCGACCTGTTGTAACCCCGCCCACTTCACGTGGCGTCCTTTTATCATGACGAAGTAACGAGACGACGGGTTTTCTTGTCGCTTCAGTGACCTTTCTTAGAGTGAATCGCTGCTGTGGAGGAAATAAAAACACACTCTTGTTGATTTATAATTCATCCTGATATTATTTTTAAACTTCTCTTAACCTCATAAAATGCATCCAGATGAGGTTCAGACTTTAATATGAGACTGTTAACATTTAAAAGAAGTGTGTTTCTCACCCGACAGCAGCGATACAACGATCAGTTCCAGATGTGACGGACTGAAGTATCTTTCTGTTTCTGTTGTTTGATAATTATGACGGAGTATTAGGGCCAGACTAAGAAAAAAAATATATTTTTTGGGGGAAATTACGAGAATAATGTCGTAATGTTACAAGAATAAAGTTGTAATAATAGGAGAATAATGTAATAATACAAGAAAAAAAATTGTTTTAATGAGAAAAAAGCATCTCGCAATATTACGACTTTATTCTCATAACGTTACGACTTTCGTCTCGCAATATTCCGACTATATTTTTGTAATACTACGACTTTTTTCTCGCAATATTACGACTTCATTCTCGCAATATTATCGTAATGTCACGACTTTATTCTCGTAATGTTACGCCTTTATTCTCGCAATATTACGACTTTTTTCTCGCAATATTACGACTTCATTCTCGCAATATTATCGTAATGTCACGACTTTATTCTCGTAATGTTACGCCTTTATTCTCGCAATGTTACGACTTTATTATCGTAATGTCACGACTTTATTCTCGCAATGTTACGACTTTATTCTCGTAATATTCCGACTTTATTCTCGTAATGTTACGACTTTATTCTCGCAATGTTACGACTTTATTCTCGTTATTTCCCCAATAAATACATTTTTTTTTCTCTTAGTGTGGCCCTAGCACTCCGTCGAAGATAATGAACAAACTTTCAGAGAGAATTAAAAACTCTTCTTTTTTTTTTTTTGGTAAAAACATCCAGATCACAGTTTGAATGTATTTTAGTTTCTTTATTTTAATCTTTAACACACATTTAAGTTCAGTTCTCTTTCTCAAAGGCAGCTGTGTGTTTATAACTTTTGAATCAGAGGCAGCAGGAAACAACAAAAGGACCAAACTGGAGTATTTTTGATATCTGAGTGCTTTGGATCTACAGATTTGACTTTTTAGATGAGAGTAAACTACATTAGAAACACAAGATTTATCAAATAAAATTAGAATTTAAGATATTTTCAGAGTACAAATCTATATTTAAGCTGTGCTACCTTTATAATAATGTCAGATTTAAGTTTGTTTTTGCACTTCGAGATGCAGCTTCTGCTTTATATTGATCTTAATCCCAAATAATCTGCATACATTAAACATATATTCCTTTAATTCACCTGTAGCACCAACAAATACAAAACTTAACTTCTCTTTAACTTCTGATTAAGCTTAAATACGTTTTAAATTATAACTTTGTGCAGCACTGTAATATTGTTTAATTAATGTTGATTAAAACAGCCGAAGCTTCGTTGTTTTTAATCAGAAATCTTGAAATCCTGCAGTTTTCTTTATCGGGAGGCGAATAAATAAACACATTAATAAGCTTTTCTGAAACAAACGTTCAGGGGAAAGAGCAGAGGGACCATTTAAAGCATAAAATGTGACATAAGTGCAGCGGTTCTTAAAGGACCACTGATATCTCGGCATTTTGTTAATTTCTGAGAAGGAAACTGAATGAAATTGTTTGCTTAGACTGTTAAAAACATAAAAATACACAATACAGACAGAGAATATCAGGAAAAACTCATCTCCGATCAATATTCACTGGAAATAATCAATCAAAATTCATCCAAAATCGCTCGTTTTACACAAACTTCCTGTTATCGTGTTCACTGTTTGGGTTCATTGTGCAGTTAATCAGATATATTATATAAAATATCCATGAAATATGATAGAAAACACAACAATGATTATACTCTAATGAAAACACACCTGTTAATATTATATTCTGCCTATAAATCCTCCTGAAGGTTGCACACTGGAGCTTTTTAAAGACGTCATGAACTCACTAAATTGATCACAAAACAGGATTTTAGGTGTTTTAATGACGTTTTATTTCACAAATTTAGTATTTCGGTGGTTTCGTTTCCAGTTCTAATAAACAAAAATATAATTTGTGTAGAAATGAATGTGCTGGGTGTAAAACAGTGAAAAAATGAATGAGTATTTAATTGGCTTGAAGTTGAGCCGTATCAATAATTTACTCCAAAATAAAAGAACTTGTGAGTTATATTGATCTGTAAAATAAACATTTATCACATTTTTCAGCTTAAAACCCTGAAATTAGTTTCAGTTTGTTGTTTATATATTTAAAAAAAAATTAAAAGTCTTTTTTGTCGTAATTAAAGATTGTAAACACACGGCGATGTCATCGTCGCGTCCCGTGACACTGACACCGAGGGCTAACGTTCACGATAAACTTTAAAAACTGATTGTTTTTTTTAACACCGGCTGAACCTCGTCACTCTGAATGTGCACAACTATTTATTTATTTCTCACTATTTTAGATGTTTCATCATTTCGCCTCCAAAATTCAGCCTCGTTATCGTCTTTCAGCTGAGATTTAGAGTTTGAACGACGTTTGGGGTTAAAAGGAGGCTGCGATGGGTATATGAGAGCATTTGAATTATATTTTAAAGAGATTTCTGCGTTTAGAAATAACCGTGAGACCTCATCTTTCAAACAACCTCGCAAAACTTATATCGTATTGTAACGTGATAATAAGAAGACTTTGAGAAAATGTCTCAGGTAGAAAGAAGCTGACGTTGTGCAGATGAAACTGTGCTGAAGTTGAAGTGGTTTGAATGGTTTCTCTGTTTGTGGTGTTTAGATTTATTTCTCAGAACATTCAGACAATCACAGGAAAGTATTTGATCTGTTGTCGAGCAGAAAATCTCGTATTTAAGCTAAAAAAAACCAACTAAAATAAATAAGCTATTTTACGTAAGCGGCGCTGGAGAAAGTGACTTTTATCTGCTTGCTGTTTTATCTGAAGATATGAAATGTGAATCATACGTTTGAATATTTAATCATTTTCAACCTCGTTTACATTTGTTTTTGAGTCTTTGTATTTGAAAACGTGCACAAGTCTATATTTTCATCCACTTTGCTGTGAATAAATAAATATTTGAATATTTATATTTGCCTCTTTACTCTCCTGTTATTGTTTAAATATGGAATAAAATCAATTTCTCAACCTAATTTCACTTAACTCAGATGAAAAGAGTCATCTGTTGGTGGTTTATGTGTCATTTTTCTAACATTTAAAGTCAAGAACAAACGTTTGAGCAGCCTGCAGGAGGAAAACCAGCCTGCGTGAATAAAATGTGACGTCTTTTTCAGAGAGCGGAGGGTTTAAAATGTCCGTTGGGTCTTGAAGTTCTCGCCCAGTAACACCGTTAACCCTTTAATCCAATCAGAGAGGCTTGTTCAAACAGCTTAGACTGGTTCTGTGACAGCGACCAGTTGGCTTTTTGTTTGTTGTTCTGACACAAAAACAGCAAAAAACAGCAGATTTTAAAACGTCTGTACATTTCGTTTATTTACAGCATAAAAAAACCGAAACGTTTCCAAACTGAAACAGATGCTGTTAATTTCATAACTGATGTAACTTCAATATTACTGAACTCGAACCGGAGCTTCAACATCAGGATTATTAGGGAGGAAAAAATATTTTCATTTAAAAAGAATTAAAAAATAAACCAACTGTACAATTTCTCAGCAAAAACGAGAATAAAAGTATAAATCATGTGTTCAAACATAAAAAAGTGATAAAATAATATGTGATCAGGAGGGGAGGCCCGCAGCGAGGATGCTGCCCAGCAGAGTTCGATCCTTCAGAGCGTTTTCAACGTCCTTCTCTTCGATCTTTAGAAACACCTGCAGCAACAAAATACATAAATATTTCAGATTAAAGCCTCAACGTTCTCAGTTTGTAGAAGTTTACAGTAAAATTCAAAAACAAAAAAAAGGTACAGACGTCAAGAAAACTCCAGCGATGGAGGCATTTATCACCACATCTAATTGTTAATATAAGTGTTCATTCTTTTACATACACGCAGTAATCAATGAGTTTCTCACCCATCCTGTCCTGGAAATTTATTAAAATCCCCAAATATCCTATACTCAGATAACTTAAACCTGGCTGTGTGTTCTGTTTGTCTTTGTATGTTTTCAACATGATTATTTAATTAATGTTTGCCAATGTCCAAAGTCAGAGGACTTATAAAAAGAGGGACACGTGTGAGGGATTGTCTTGATGAAACATTAGATTATGTTGAACATCAAACATAATTTATGCTTATTTTTTAACCTTAATCACAAAGATTTTTCTAACTTTAAAAGACAGATCAAAACCTTTAAAACGCTCCCTGTGAGGGTCTTTATGAGTCACACGTAGAGCTGCGACGGGCGACAGAAAAAGGACAAAATATTTGTAATTCTGTCTCATTTACTGCTGAACAAATTTCAGTCTACACGCATTGTGTCGTGTAAACTCTGTTTCAGCTCTAAAAGAAGCAGTCAAGTCCTCGGGGAAACCTCTGAGTGAGTGTTGTTAACGGACTAACGTGAGATTACACCGTGCAATCATTAGAGAGCTGTGATGATGTTTCGTACCTTCGTGAGACGAGCCTCTTTGGCTTTCTTCAGAGCGAAGATTCCTCGACTCTCCAGCAGACTGCAGAGAGACAAACACTCGCCCTGACCGACTGCAGAGACCTGCCTCTGAGCGCACAGACGGCTGTAAACTTCGTGGAGCTGAAACACACACAAAAAACAGATTCCCACCTTGTTACATTCGGGTTTTATTGAGATTCAGCGCCGCCTGCTGGACGGCAGCAACTTCAGTTCACACCAAAATCATTTGACTCGCTCTGAGAGTGCAAACAGCTCACAGGATGAGTTTAACTGCTATTTGGCTTGTAGGAAAACTTAGTTACAGTTAGTTATATCTAATCACTGTGCATTAATAAAGTGTGTAGTTATAACAACCAAAGAGATAATAAATCAGGGAGAAGAAAACACTGAATTTGTCATTACAAAAAGCCTATTGAATCTGTAGAATTGTTAAAAAAGTATAAAGAAAATACAGAAATGTATAAAAAGTTCTTAAAAATATACGGAAATTCATCTCTGATCAATAATAACTGGAAATAATTGGCTCAAAATTCATCCAAAAAGCGTAACTTCCTGCAGTTATGGAGTTCACTGTTTACAGTTCATCAGTTGTTTGCTACTGTTATTGTTTACACATCGAATAGATTATGAAATATCCATAAAATATGTATCTACGGGCTCATTTACTGGTGGAAATAGCAGCTTTTAGTCGTATTCTTACAGGTTTTTAATTATCAGCTGTAGTGTCTTGTGTCTAGTGTTTGGCTTTGATGCACCCGTCTCCTGCTCAGCATCATCAGACTACTTTCATTAAAAGCGTCTTTGGTTCAGACAGTCGCAGCGTAAACAAACAGTTTGGTGCGTCTCACCTTTCCGAGGACAATCTCTTTGCTCTTCCCGTTGCGGATGAGCAGCAGCAGGCAGCAGACCAGCAGCTTCTGCTGCAGGGGGAAACTCTCTCCATCAGAGCCGCCGCCGCACTGAGACGCCATCCGGTCGCCGTACACCTCCGACAGCACCCGCGCCACCTGGGGGAGGCTGACCCGCGACGCTGCACGCACCCGAGGACAAGAAGAGTTAGAGTTGAGAGTCGAGTCGGAGACAGAAATCAGTCAGTGAATGGAGGACGGGGGGGCAGCGCTCACCTTTAGCTTCAGGATCCGATGTTTTCTTCCTCTCGTCTGACTCCACAACCTCGACCGCTCTCCTGAAGAGACAACGAAATTAATCTCAAATCCTCAAGACACTTTGACACTTTCAGACATTTGGCCGTTGATCTCGTACCTGCAGATGTCCAGAGCTTTCCTGGCGTCTCCCGACACCGCCGACACTTTCCTGGCACAGAACTGAACCGCCGAGGCGTCCATGATGCCCTCGGCCGACGCCGAAGCGAGTCTGTCCTGTACGATGGCGGCGAGCTCCTGTCGGCTGTAGGGGGGGAAGTTTAGGAGCAGCGGGCGACAGTGAGGGCGAGCCTGCAGTCGGGGAAGGATGCGGTCGGTCAGATCCAGAGCGTTGGCGATACCTGCGGGAACAACAAAGGCGTCAGAGTCAGTGAGCAACAGGTGAGTTATTCACTTTATTAACAATGAGTCAAAGAGCCAGGACACAAAAAAAATATTGGAGTGTCTTCCAATTCGAGTCTGTTCAAACCCTCGAAAACATAAAAGAAACAATAACTTGTCTTCCACTGATGTACTAAATCAAATCATTGCAGTCCCACTTTTAATGAGTCAATGTCTGATGTTTGTCCTCTTTATTATTTTATTTCCATTTAGTCAGAATTACCTTAAAAACATTTTCAGAAATACCGAAAATAAACAATATTTATTTGTTATTGTTTTTTCCGTGACCTCAACTATTGACAGATTAACAATCATACAAAACACAGACGTTACTCCTGCTGTTACGTGTGTGTGTGTGTGTTTGTAAAGCTCTTACCGACGAGACAGAGGCGAGACTTTGGCAGGTACGGCCATTCAAAGATGGTGTAGAGGACGTCCTGGGATTTACTGTCCAGCTGGTCCATCTCATCCAGAACGAGAAGCCTGAGGAGGAAAGACGGACCGAGTCAGAATCTCTCAAGTCTAAAACCCACAAAGGTTCTCAACCCCAGAAGAGACAACAAAATCATACGAAGCAAACAAACGCTGAAGTTTGTATCTAAGTCTTTAGAGGGGCTAAAATCAAAATTATTTCCAGGATATTTGGTCATTTTAAATCAATTTCCAGGTGTTTCAATGACTGGAAAACCCTCTAATCCAGTTGTGTGGGAACTGGGTTTACTCAACAGCAAACGGGCCAAAAAAAAACAGCCAGGGCCGACAGGAACCTCTGCAGGCCGTTCTGTCCGCCCGGCGCTCTCAGCTTGTCGGCGAGCAGCGGGAAGATGGCGTGGGAGCTCCGCAGACTCATACAGTTCACCACCACCGTCTGTACCGACGACAGCTCGGCCTGATGGGACGGAAGATTACAACGTAAACAAAAAGACACTTTGAGTTCTAAGATTGTGAAAATGGTTTTTTTTTGGTATTTATGGATGAACAAACGTTAAATATAGTCGGAACAGACGATGGTTGAAGGGATATAAGATTCATTTTGTGAATCTAAATGTGTTTATCTATTTCAAATGTTCAGTAGACGACAATTTTCTTTGCCTACTGTTATATTTAAGCATTTAGCCTTTAATTTTTATTGATATTATCGTTTTTCTCCTTAATTAATACAGTTTGAGTTCATTTGTGGGGCATCGTAATGTGATTTCTGTGCAAGAAAGCACGAAAATAAAGGAGGGGAAGCTACAGAGAGACGTAACATAATGTGCATCTAAAACATTTTAACCTAAAAGCTGCATTAATGTAAATAATAAAGTAGAGTACAAATAAAATCAAACCTTTCTGCAGTGACACAAACTCTCCACTAGATGTCACTATAGCTCTACACATTATACAAATACCTTCACTCTGAAACACACACACAGACACACACACAGTTAAAGCACCTTCATCTCCTGCAGCACACAGTTGAAGCAGGCGGTCTTGCCGGTCCCCGGTGCTCCGGAGATGTAGAGGCTGCCGGGGAGACGCTGCAGGACTTTATCCTCCAGGAAAGAGCGAATGGACGCTCGCTCTGTCTCCCGGGACAGGAGACGCTCGGGGACGGCGGTGTGCAGCGCCTGCTTCACGTCCTGAAACCTCGACTCTGGGGGAGGAGAAACATCAGCAGAGGGTTTAATCAATCTGATTAAATACTATTAATCCATTAAATGAGAATACAGGCACATGAGAGAGTTCTTACTTTCTGCAAAGAGCCGAGCAACCGGCGGCTTCTTCTCAGAGTTTTGGTGTTTGGCCGGGCTTCCAGTTGGCGTTTCCTGGCGCCTCGGGGACAACGCGGCGGCAGGCGAGAGCGGTTGGCGTGGCGACGACGGGACCAGACGTCTGCGAGCAGAGACCGGCGAGTTCTCGTCGAAGCCGAGCTTCCGTGGCGAGGCCAGAGACGGCTTGATCTGTTTGGGTGGA